GAGAGCCGTGAAACATCGTCGGGATTGAGTTTCGTTTCCGGGTCTGAGAGGAAACTGGATTCTGACACGGGAAGAGAATTGATACCTGGGAAGAGAAGAGAATCGAATTGGAGTAAAGGGTCTACATGATTTGAAGAGATTAAGAAGAGAAGAAGCCATTGTTGGAGCTTCTCTTGAAGAGAAGACAATCGGATAGGAAAAAGCGGCGAGGGATGATTATAGCCATAGCCAAAACCTCTGAACTAATAACGGTTTGCATAAACCGGTTTGAAAGGCGAACCGAACCGAACCGAATTGAAAAATCGACTTTTTAAGTTTGAGATTAGAAATCAAATCCAAAATCCTAACCCTCCTAAACCCTAAAGGCGACATCTTTCTCTCACTCTCTTCGATTTCTTCAAGCCTTCTACTTTTTCTTCTTATTGAGTACCATCACAATCAGTTTCTGTGTAAACCCTTTTGTATTTGAATCTAGATATGGTGTTTGGACAAGTGGTGATTGGTCCTCCTGGATCAGGCAAGACAACTTACTGCAATGGCATGTCTCAGTACCTCTCTCTTATCGGAAGGTTTCGTGTTCTTTCTCTTTTGCTAGAATTCTTTTCTGGTTTGTAGTTGCAATTCTCTCTTATATATTGGTTGTTTCTCCGTCTCTCTAGCTTTGAGAAAAAGTCACAAAGTTTCAAACTTTAGCTTATGATAGTGTGAAATTTCAGAAATTTTGGATTACCCAATTTTTGAGTTGATTCATGTATATATTTTCTTACAATTTAGTAACTTTTTTGTGTTTTGTTTTTGCAGGAAGGTTGCTATTGTTAATCTGGATCCTGCGAACGATGCATTACCGTATTATTTTTCTTATGTCAAATTGTGAAAATGGTTGAAATTGGACTAGTGAATAGCTATGGGAAAATTTCCAACTTGAGAATTTGTTGTTGTTTCTTGACATTGATCTTTTAGGTATGATTGTGCTGTGAATATTGAAGAGTTGATTAAGTTAGAAGATGTTATGGTGGAACCTTCGCTTGGTCCTAATGGAGGTGAATTTCTTTGTCTTGATTTTCAATCATTGATCAAATTAATGACGAAAACTTTCTATCGAAAACAGGTCTTTTATATTGTATGGAGTACTTGGAGAAAAACATCGATTGGCTCGAAGCTAAATTAAAGCCGTTTCTAAAGGGTTAGAGCAACAATGAATCTCTTCATTTTGTCTCTTAACATTTTTGGGTATTAAACGTTTCGAAACATTTTGGCAGACCATTACATTCTCTTTGATTTTCCTGGCCAAGTGGAACTGTTCTTCAATCACGAGAGCACCAAGAAGTTTCTCACGAAGCTGACGAAATCGTTCGACCTTAGAGTATGTGCTTTTTTCTTCTACTGTTACCGATTTTGCTAAATGAATCTAATCTGATTTAATTATTTTCTTCTTTTTGGTTCTGCAGTTAACTGCTGTGCAACTAATTGATTCCCATCTATGTGCTGATCCCGGGAACTATGTAAGCGCGTTGTTTCTCTCCTTATCCACAATGCTTCATATGGAACTCCCGCATGTGAATGTCTTGTCTAAAATCGATCTGCTTGGAAGCTACGGGAAGCTAGGTAGGTATCTACGGTTAAAATCTTCTTGTTCTTGAAAGTATAATATGGAACTCGCTAACTACCTTAAACTATCTGTGTCATGTAGCTTTCAATTTAGATTTCTATACCGATGTTCAAGACTTATCGTACTTAGAGCGTAGTCTTAATCAAGATCCTCGCTCTGCTAAGTACAGGTTTGATATAAAACATCATCTGAATAACACCACATGGACGGCCAATAAGTTCTTGCTTAGATGTTACTCTCAATATCTCATGAGCTCGATGTTCTTATCGCAGAAAGCTAACGAAAGAGCTATGTAGTGTCATCGAAGATTACGGTCTGGTTAATTTTACAACCCTGGATATTCAGGTCTGCTATATCCTCTGCACTTATCTCTCTCTGCAAAGCATCTTGTGTGGTCTTTTTAACAATTTGGAGCTTATTGATTTCAGGATAAAGAAAGTGTTGGGAATCTGGTAAAGCTCGTTGATAAGACCAACGGATACATATTTTCGGGGATTGATGCAAGTGTTGTCGAATACAGCAAGATTGCAGTTGGTCAAACTGATTGGGATTATAACAGATATCCTTTTATTTTCTCCTACTTTCTAACCATTGTTTCACTCGATTCCTCTGTTTTTTTTCGTGTTATGTCTACAACGAAAGATGTTGTCTCTTTAACGATAGTGTTTCACGGTTGCGGCTGTGCAAGAGAAGTACATGAAAGACGAGGAAACACAAGACTGAGAAAGAAATAGAGACAGAGCTTGAAAGTTCCCATAGAAGAAGAAGAAGACGAGCTTTTTGGTTAAATCTCCCTGAACCAAACCAACTTGTTTTGTAATTTTGGGTTCGGTTTAAGTCCAAACAATATTGAGTATACTACTAACTGGTTTGGTTTACGAAATGATGTTAATCTCGAGACAACTAATTGCCCATTTCATAAAAGTTTTCTCTGAAAACCAGACT